CAATCCTGCGACGTCTGTTATCGAGTTGTCCGTGGAAACTGCCATGGAGGGACGATACTCTCCTCCAGGTGGGAGGAGCAATCAGGAGCCACCCAGAAATAGACCAGCATCTTTGGGTCTGGCCGCTGAGCGGATTCGCTTAAAGAAGATGGGTCTCTCTCAAAAAGTAGTGCGCACAATCTAGGATCCACACGTTGCCTTCACCACAGCGCTGTATACATCAAAGTGGACAGCTTTTCAACGCTGCTGTACGGAAAAAGGTGTAGAGGCCATCTCATGTCCACTAGGTGGCGTGCTGTCCTTTCTGCAGCAGCTGATGGACAGAAATCTGTCATTCAGCACAATTGAAACGTATGCTGCAGCCATCTCTTCCTGTCACAAAGGCTTTGGTGACATAACAGTTTTTAATCACCCGCTGATGAAGCGTTTTCTAAAAGGTGTACAAAGGCACAGACCTGTGTCACGCCCACTAACTCCTCAGTGGGACTTAACGATGGTTCTGCAGGCCCTGATCAAAGCTCCTTTTGAGCCGTTAGGTCAGGTTTCGATTAAATTCTTGTCACTTAAAACAGCCCTGCTGTTGGCTTTGACATCTTCAAAGAGAGTGAGTGATTTATCTGCTCTCTCTGTTGCTCCGTCATGCCTCAGGGTTCAAGCTGATGGCAGTTCAACTGATCTGAGACCTAACCCAGCGTTTATGCCTAAACGATAAAAACATCACGAGCTCATTTAAATCGAGAATGATAACGTTGGAGGGTTTTTTTCCCTCCTCCCCACAAATCAGAAGAAAAAGAATCTTTTCATCTTCTCTGCCCTGTGCGTGCGTTGGCATGTTACGTAGCACGCACGGCCACATTGTGTCAGACTCAACATTTGTTTGTGCATTATAGAGACGCCTCTGCAGGTCACCCGTTATCCACCCAGCGCCTGTCACACTGGCTGTGTGAGGCCATTTCTGAAGCTTACAGAGCATCAGGTTTTGAGCCCCCTGACAACCTCAGGGCGCACTCGACCAGAGGAATCGCATCCTCGACAGCCTTGCATAATGGTATGACAATGCAGGATATTTGCACTGCGGCCGCGTGGTCATTGCCCTGCTCATTCATTCGCTTCTATCTGCGTGATGTGTCGGCTCACTCCATGACGCATTCTGTCCTCGATGCCTTAACAGAATTAATCTCATTGTTTTCATGGAACTTCGTTTAAACTCACATCTGACTGCATGCAATTACAGTGTGAGATATTTGTTATCAGTCACAAGTTTGTGACTGTTGGTTTTTGTTCTAATGTCACTAATCAGTTCATGACTACTGTTACCAATCAGTTAATTTGATTACTAATCAGTTCATTTATTATGAATCTGTTCACTGTTTTTTCAGCTTCTCCCCTTTTCCCATGGAGAACTTTTCTCTCCGGGCGCCCATGTACACGGAATGCGTAAATTACGCAGCGCCTGTCTGTACATGGTGCGCGTAATTACGCAGCGCGTATTTACGCACATGGAGGGCTGAGGGATAAAATGTTTTTTGATGCAAGCGGGCGCTTCCAGTGAGGCAAAGACTACATCCTGCTTCGCCTTGAACCCACAAACGACAGCCTTAAAGGGCGAAGCCTATATGAAATAGAACGTTGGTTACGTACTGTTACCCCAGATTCTATGAGTATAGGCGTAGCCCTTTAAGCTCTGGGCCTCAAAGGCTCCTAAATGGCTGAAGAAAAAAGCTATTTGGGAGTCAATTACCCGCTCTCAACGTAATTTATACGGACTGGGTGGGGCCCACACGACAGGTGGGCGTGGACTAAATTTTTCAGTGCAACGCTTTGCATAACTGGATAAAACCCACAAGCGACAGCCTTAAAGGGCTACGCCTATACTCATAGAATCTGGGGTTACAGTACGTAACCAAAGAATTCTTTTCACAAAGATGGCCTCCTTTACTCCTCTCTCAAACCATCGTTCCTCTCTGTCCAGGATGTGAACATCTTCATCCCTGAAAGAGTGACCGCTGGCCTGGAGATGAGTGTAGACCGCAGAGTTGGCTGTTTAGTTTCCCCGATGTAAAACTGATCACAGCCCTCCTGACACTGAACAGTATACACAATATTACTCTGTTTGTGCTGGGGGACTGGATCTTTGAGATGAACCAGTCTTTGCCGTAATGTATTTTGGGGTTTAAAAGCCACTGGGACGTTGTGTTTAGAAAATAAACGTCTCTGCTGCTGTTATTGCTAGTATCACTCAGCCCTCTGTGAATAGTGAACAGCCATCAGTGTGCTAATGATCCATTGTTAGGCTGATGGTCCTTCTTGATCATGTGATCAGCTGGTTTTGGTTGTCAGCAGCAAACTGGTTGATCCACTCTGAGAAGTTGCTGTTTATAAGACTGAGCTGAATACAGCACCTCAGACTGAGGAAGTCTTTTGGATGAAAGACAAAACGTTTCTAGATTTGTTTTTGTTTTGCTTTGTTTTGTTTTTTTAATGTCCAGAGGACCAGATTAAACTTTTTTAGATTTCTGAAATCATGTTACAATCTACAAGAATGTGAACAAAGGTATTAAGGGTCAATAATCCAAACTACACTCTTTATCTCATCTATTATCATGTCTCCTAACTATGTATCCTTTTCTATCTCCATCATGACAGCATCACGTTCACATTCTATGTGCAACACAACAAAAGCCTCACATTCTTCATTCAGACTGAAATCGGACATATGCATCCTGACACCCAGATGGATCTGGTTGTCTTGATATTTCACAGAATCACATTACACCACGATGAGATCATCCCTCACTGCCTGAATTAAAAAATCAGTCATGACGGTCATGTTCGTTCTGCAACTGATGACTTCTTAGAGTCTGTAAAGGATTGTTCCTGCATATGCAAGAAGTGGAAGTCTAAGTCCATTGAACGTGTCAAACTCTATTTATAGGGATTAAAACATTTAAGAGAACCATTCACATGTTAAAAAAAAAAAAAAGCCCCTTGGCTCACACACAGAGCTGAGTGCTGGAGCAGGTGGGGTCTGTCTGAGCCCGTGTCTGTAACTCTAGACCAAACCCAGGAGTCCATCTACGAGACAATGGGAGGGAGGGGGGCAACCATATTGATCTCCTCGGTTTCTCTCCCAGAGGAGGTGGGGAAGAACAAGATGGAGACATTAGCGCCGCATTTCAGTGTATCATGGAGGCTGAGTGATATAGGATCTCTTCTAAATTGACTGTGATCTCTTTATGCCACAAGTTGGAGGGTGAAAAACACATTCAAGGTCCTGTTTGTGGTAAAGGATGGTTGGAGGTTCTCGCAACTGTACAGTGGGTTGCAAAAGATTTATCCCTCCATGCTATTCTTTCTATTTTGTTGCCTTACAACATGAAATTTAAATCCATTAAAAATTTTATTTCAACTATTTTCTACAAGAAAATAACATGATTAAATAGTTTGAAAATTTAATATAATATAAACTGAAAAGTAATGGGAACCAATGTATTCACTGCCAGTCAGTACTTTACAGCTGTTATTGAAGTTTTGTAGAATTATTACCTATAATCAAATTAAAAATCCAAATACATTTAAAGTTTTAAGGCAACAAACTAAAATTATTACTTAATACTAGAGTAATACCTACACAATTACTCTTGTAATACACTCATCAAATTAATTTATTTTAAATAATACAACTTTTAAACTTACACAGCTAATACAAAATTTAAAGCCTGCATAATTAACTGCAATGTAAGCAAGTGAAATCCATCCATCCAGCATCTATCATCCACCCATCATCCAGCCATCATCCATCCATCATCCATACATCATCCATCCATACATCATCCATCCATCCATCATCCATACGTCCATCATCCATACATCATCCATCCATTATCCATACATACATCTTCCATTCATCACCCATACATCATTCATACATCATCCATCATCCATACATCCATCATCCATACATCATCCATCCATACATCATCCATCATCCATCCTTCCATCCATCATCCATCATTCCATAATCCATTCATCATCCAAAATCCATTCATCCATCCATCATCTATCCATCCTCCATAATCCATACTTCCATCATTGATCATCGATCAATCCATTCATCTATCCATCCATCCATCATCCATTTATCCATCATCTATCATCCATCATCCACCCATTTATCCATCAATCATTCATCATCCATCCTTCATCCATTCATCCATCATCTATCATCCATCATCCACCCATTTATCCATCAATCATTCATCATCCATCATCTATACTTCCATGCATCATTAGTCCTTCCATCTATCATACATTCTTCCATCTATCATCCATCCTTCTATCCATCATCCATCCATCCATTATCCATCCATCCATCCATCTGTCCATCCATCATCCGTCTGTTCATCCACCCATTCATCATCCATCATCCAACCACCCATCATCCATCCATCTATTCATCATCCATCATCCATCTATCCATCATTCATCTGTCCTTCCACCCATCCATCATCCATCCAGCCATCATCCATCCAGCCATCATCCATCCAGCCATCACCCATTCATGCATCTATCCATTATCTTTACCCGCTTCTTCCTTTTTGGGTCTCTCTCTCTCTCTCCCTCTCTCCCTCCCTCCCTCCCTCCCTCCCTCCCTCCCTCTCTCTCTCTCTCACACACACACACTCACACACTCACACACACACACACACACACACACACACACCTGGGGACAATTTAGAGTTACCAGTCAACCTAACATTCATGTTTTTGATCAGTGGGAGGAAACGGGAGTACCCAGAGAAAACCCACGCAGCACAGAGGAAACATACAAACTCCACCCAGACAGGTCAGGCAGGGATTTGACCTGGCAACCTTCTTGCTGAAAGGCAACAGCTCTACCAACTGATCCATCGTGCAAGTTCCACTGTGCAAGTGAGATCACTGAGAGGACAGAAACAACAGTTTTTGAACAGTGAGCTGTGTAAGAATGTGAAGTCCACCTTCAGCACATCGGGTGAGTCTTTAGTCCTGGCAGCAGCTTGCAGCAGGCAGGAGGGGACCGGAGGTGGGTTTTTCTGGATGATCTCCCTGAAGCAGGTGGAGAGATTGGAGGGAGCTGGATCAGAAGTCTGATCCTTTTTCCTCAATGTCATGTTGAGCTTCTCAGCCGCCCTGCAAGGACAAAGACAGGAAGAATTAGTGCGTGTATGGGGGGACACTGCAACACTTAAAACAATCCGTTCTGGAACTAAAACTTCTCTCTGGAAAACTTTTTTTTTAAAACTGTACACAGAAGCGATTGTCTGTACCATTTGCTTCTCCAAATAAAATATAAATAAAAATAAAAACCTAGAAATATCCCCACCATATTGGGCTAATATGATTTATGTAATGTATTAATGCAATATTGTGAAATTTGTAATTACCTTTGTAACTAATGGAAGAGCATGTAGGAGCGTATCTGTATGTGTGCAGCTAATTAAATGATACAGAGTTTAACGATCCAAACACCTACACCGCGTGTCAAGTTAAGGTCCACGGCCCAGAAATGGTCCTTGCTACAGTTTTATGTGGTCTGCAAGACAAGTTTGTACTACACCTGTCCCAGCAAGCACCAGACGTCATGCCAGAGTTTTAAACTAATCTCATCACATGATGAAGAATGACAGAGTTACAGCCGTTTAAATCTAATATTATGTGTGAGCGCACAATCCAACACCGTCTGTTAACGCTCAGATTATTGTTGGGAATGAATTTCAGCTACTTCCACACCAAACCTCAGTATTTCTGAAAATGACTGAATTATAGCCATTTTGTGTCAGCTTATGTTGATTAGCTGTGGCGGCCATCTTAAATTGAGATTATTCCTGTAGTTAATTAGTTAAAGGCACATTCAATAATTACTTTCTGAAACTTTCATTAAAATCAGTTCCATGGTTCATGAGCTATTACAACAAACAAACAAACACGCACACAAACAGGCAGAAACATACTGGTAATCACCCGCCTTTTCCCATTAGATGATGGGCAGAAATGAATTTTGTATTTTATTTCTAAGCCAGATATCAGGGCTTTTTTTGATTCATTTGTCACAAGTTTCTAAAGTAACTAAATATAGTCAAGAAAATGAATTATTTACTGTAAGGGAATGAAAATACTCCAGACTCGTCAGCTGTGATTTCATGAATGAGCTGAGAGCTTAAAGGGATAAATGTCATAACTAAAACAGACAGGTCCCCATCACGTTTGACCTTATTGTTATTATTAATTACCGTAATTACCGGTCTATAAGCTGCTACTTTTTCACAGGCTTTGAACCCCGGATCTTATACAATGCTGCAGCTAATTTATGGATTTATTTTTTTTTGACGGGCTAACGAGCTTCCTGCCGCCAAAAACATTTAGCCTCATCACACCCGGGTGCTCACATAGTTGCCTAATATGTGTCTCTCTTGGGGGGTGGGTCTTTGTGACTTAGTGAAACTACCTGTAAGAATAAAGGTAAAAAATATAAAATTTGACCAATGAAATTATCGAACAGGTCACAGTCGAACCAATGAAACGGGGAGGAGAGAATGGGAGTGGGGGATTCCCCTGCATGCAACCAGAGCACAAGCTTGCAGCATATGAAGATAGCGATCAGTGACTTCCTGGTACGCTACTGTATTTGTTTTTAACAACAAAAGAGAGACGGAGGACGTGTGTGATAAAGTTTTTCTGAGGCTGTCCAATTCTTACACTAAAGAAGACGACTTTAGTGGTTTTAGTTCACAGGAGGAAGATGAACGTAGTGATCAGTGACTTTTCCTGGTAGGCTTCTGTATTCTTCTTTACCAGCCGTGTTACAGGCACTGTTGAGAGAAAAACATCCACTGTACGTATTTGTGTATGTTTCCATAACGTATTTAATTAAAAGGTTTTTTTTAATCGTTCTGTGTTACAATGTGGACACCCATGGCTTATACACAAGCATGGTTTATATATGTACAACATTGTTTTGTTTTGTTTTTTGTGTGTGTGCGGCTTATATTTGGGTGCGCTCTTTGGTCCAGAAATTACGGTAGTTGTGGTTCATATGAAAAGCTTTTTTCATTAAATAATTTAAGACACAATGACAAAGTGAAAATGCATTTCTACAAAGTAATGCCAGTTAAATAAAAATAATATAAAATGAGTGACTGCATGAATAAAGTGACCGTTTCAATAAAACTCAGTGAAAAGATTAAAAAGTTCAAATCAGGGGTGGAAACTAAAGGATTTCAGAATTCATACATGTTCCCCAGACATTTGTTGAATCTATCACCAGGAAATGGAAGGAATATTAAAAAAATATTTTAAACTGTTTATTTGTATAAAGGCTCCTCTAGGGACTGGCACAGTGGTGTAGTCGAAGCAGCCGGTCAAAGCAGATGGTCTCTTGTCCTGAGTCTGGTTCTGCTGGAGGTTTCTTCCTTTTAAAAGGGAGTTTTTCTTTCCACTGTTTCCACTGTGTTTGCTCAGGATGGGAGACTGCAACGAAGCCAAGATTCAACTTGTCTGCTGGATTCCTTAGATAGAGAACTTTACTAATTGGCCTTTTTGTATGTGAATGTGCCCTGAGACAACTTTGTTGTGATTTGGCGCTATATAAATAAACTGAATTGAATTGAATTGAATTGAATGGGCAGCACGGTGGCGCAACTGGTAGAGCTGCTGCCTCTCAGCGAGCAGGTCCTTGGTTCAAACCCCGGTCCAGGGGCCTTTCTGTGTGGAGTTTGCATGTTCTCTCCGTGCATGCGTGGGTTTTCTCCGGGTACTCCGGTTTCCTCCCACAGACCAAAAACATGCATGTTAGGCTGATTGGTAACTCTAAATTGTCCCTAGGTGTGAGTGAGAGACTGAATGGTTGTTTGTCTCGTTTGTCTCTATGTGTCCCTGTGATTGAGACCCGTCCAGGGTGTACCCCGCCCCTCGCACAGTGATTGCTGGACATGGGCACCAGCGACCCCCGTGACCCAAAATGGATAAGCAGGTAAAGAAAATGGATGGATGGATGGATGAATTGAATAGTCTATGTGATATTCAGGTATACGGAGTATACCCACTAGAAAAGCCTAAGAATGTCAGTATACCCACTTAAAAGTGCCCAATTATACATGACATATCTTTAGGCACATGTCATTGATACATTAAACGGCAGTTAAGCACTTCATAACAATCTATCAGTAAGCAGCGCTTTGCTTTGTTACAGTTTTATAAATTATAGAACATGTTTTTAATACAAAGCTGACTGTTGTACAAAGTTTGTTCATTTATTCAAATATGGGGGCCGAGATGGTGTAGAGGCAGGGCAGCCGGCTTGGGACCCGAAAGTCCCAGGTTCGATCCCCAGTCATTGCACATCACGTGGCGTCTCTGGGCAGCACGTCTCATCCCCAAAATGTCCCCCTGGCGCTTTCAATAGCTGCCCACTGCACCACCTGGTGGTGGATGGGTTAAATGCAGAGACTAATTTCGCCATTGTATGGAAACATACAGTGCTGACATTGTGATGACATTATTATTATTATTATTATTATATAAGCACCAGAGAAATTTGAAAATGTTCAATATGCTTAAAAATCAAAATAAATTGATGATTACATTGTACTAACCAGTGCACTTTGGTTTCTAAGCACATTATGCCTACTACAAAAATGTGGACTACACCACTGGACTGTCAGGCTGTAAATATTTTAGTGTACAGTATTTGTTAATACTTGTCTCTATATAAATGAATAATAAAATGAAATGTGTAAAAGTACCAAAAGTAGCTGTCCTCACAAACTGAGGGACCAGGTAAGAAGAAGGAAGGACCACCAAGGCCCCTGTGAGCATGCTGAAGGAGCGACATGGCTCAGCAGGTGAAATGGAGACTGAGCATACGACCACTGTTTTCCGAGTTCTTCACCAGTCTGAGCTTTTGAGAAATAAACTGTCTGAACATGTCTGATTACTGACAGCAGTGAAAGGGTACAACCAGGTGGGTGAATACTTTGTACAGGCCCTGCATGCAACACTTGCAGCCTTCCAAAAAGAGATCTGCAGACTTGCCTGGCCAGCAGAGACATGGCAGCTGTGTTGGCGATGGTCACTACTCTGGAGATCTTGGAGCTCGTCTGTAGCGTCCCGGTGTCACCACAGCTCAGCGTGGCACCATCTGCAGCCTGTCGGGGAGGGGGGAGGAAAGTGCTCATTATATAAATAACAGCCCAGTGAAAGGTGCAACTATCCTGGGAATAACTGAGGGCAGAACCATGGGAGCTCCTGAGTAATGAGGTTGTCTGAAGCTGAGAGCTGTGAACACACACTGTTTGTCTTACTGTGAACGCCGCTCGCTGCACTGATGTCTGATGATGACTTCTGATGAAGGATTGACTCAGAGTGGAAGAAATGATGTAAACAAAGCACCCCTCACTCCAAAAGTTACACAGCTAGACCTGGAGCGACTGCACATCTGCATCGTGAGCACAGTGCAACATGACGGCTGACGTCACAACTTGAACTCACCCACACTCACTGTAGGGCCTCGGTGCCTCTCCCCTCTGTGTTGCAGCCAACATAACATCCACTCGGGTTTTCTTTAAGTAACATCTAACCATTAAGAGTCAATTAGTGCCAAGAGGGATGTGCAGCAGTGGTTTGGAATGAGACTGGGCTGATGGAGACCCAAGGAAACCAGGATGATTTATAGATCCTTCCTCTTCTCCTCGTTATGACTCAGGGCTTCTGCTTCATTCACTTGTGCTCTCAAACTGTAGCTTATTTTCTCGTTTCCTCCCACTCTCTGTCTTTTCCTTCTGCCTCACATTTTTCAGTCATTAATTTCATCTTCTTCAGTTGATCCAAAATGCTGCTGCCAGAGTCTTAACTGGAGTTACTGGAAGAGATCATATCTCTCCAGTTTTAGTTTCTCTCCATTGGCTCCCTGTCAAATCCAGAATAGAATTCAAAATCTTACTTCTAACCTACAAAGCTCTCAACAACCTAGCTCCATCTTATATTACAGATCTTACTGTTCCATATGTTCCTAACAGAGCACTTTGCTCTTTGACTGCAGGTTTACTTGTGGTTCCTAGAGTTTCCAAAAGCAGAATGGGAGGCAGATCCTTCAGGCTCCTCTCTTGTGGAACCAACCTCCAGTTTCTGTCCGTGAGGCTGACACATTGTCCAGTTTTAAAACTAGGCTTAAGTCTTTCCTTTTTGATAAATCGTATAGTTAGGGTCGGCTTCTGTTTCCTGAGCTGTCCCTTAGTTCTGCTGCTATAGGCTTAGACCGCTGGAGGACAAACTGACCACATGTCCTCTCTCTGCTGCTGTCTTTACTTACTCTACTCTACCTGCTTGTATTTGTAATTATTTCTATCTTAACATGTTTTTTTGTCTTTCCTCCTATAGAAAGTAAGTAAGTGCTATCTGTTGTCATCATTGTATGTTTCCATACAATGGCAAAATTAGTTCTCTGCATTTAACCCATCGCACCTGGGATACACCCAGGTGGAGCAGTGAGCAGCTATGTAAGCACCCGGGGAGCAGTTAGGGATTGGTGTCTTGCTCAAAGACACTAAGACACATGGGAATGGCTGGGGACTTTTGGGTCCCAAGTCGGCTGTCCTAAATCTACCCCATCTCAGCCCCAACAATACACCTGAAAGTACACCAGAAACACCACCACAGAAGGTACATCTGGACCTGTCATTCTGTGTTTGTTTCTACTTCTTGTTCTTCAAACCCAGCCAGTCGAAGCAGATGGCTGCTTGGCCTGAGTCTGGTTCTGCTAGAGGTTTCTTCCTGTTAAAAGGGAGTTTTTCCTTTCCACTGTCTCCTTTGTTCTTGCTCAGGATGGGAAACTGTGACAAGGTGGAGATTCAACACAATCTGCTGCTTCTTTACATAGATAACTTTACTGATAGGTTTTATATGTATATGAATGTTTCTGTTCAGTGCCCTGAGATGACTTCTGTTGTGACTTGGCGCTATATAAACCAAACTGAATTGAAAATTCTTGTCCTTTTCAACCTTTCTTTCTTGTTATGCTTTCTACATTCATATTGTCTTGACCTGTGTTATTTTATGTAAGTGACAGAAACCTCAAACTGGACCAGCTCCTGAATCGTTTTCTAGAGATCATGTGATTGTTCTAATTATTAGACAAGAGTCTCAGTCAGTTTTTATTCATGCCATCATGTGCATCTTGGGTGGTTCCAGATAACTATTTCACTTCACACTTTAACCTAGAATGCCAGGCATGAAATGTGATTGGATCTCAGGTCCTTCCTTCCCTCTAAATCAAAGCAGAGAATGATTTAAAGCGGCAGGCTGTAATGCACTCTCGTGCCTCGTGTGCGGGAAATTAACTGGCTGTGTAGAGGATGTCAGCTGAGTGGTCCGTCAGTGTTGCCCAGAACACGTTCATGTAAAAACTGATAAGAATGTGGCCATATGCCCCCTCTGTGCTTGGTATTTTTAAATCTCAGTGTGCTCCCAATGTGCCACGGTTGAATGCACAGCTACAGTGTGTGCAGAAATGGTGTTGAATGTAAAATATCAGAAAGAAAGAAGTTGTTTGCAAATATTATAAAATCTGAATACAACCAGGTTAGGAACTACAAGAAAAATCTTAGAACAAATTTCAGGATGTGATGTTTGATGCTGTGCTAGCATCCATTTGTACCTAATTATAGATTGTAGGCCATACATTATAGATTATAAACCGTGCCTCCATCTTTGTTGTCCCCATCGTAGAGCAAAGAGGGGAGCTGGAAACACCGTCTGTCTGTCCATGTTGTGAGATAACTTGAAGAATAAGCGAGGTATTGACTTACATTTTGGTGTGTGGCTACATCTGGGGTGAGAAAGGTTCTTTTGAAAATTGAGCTGCCTCGTCAAAATCCAAGATGGCTGCCACCATATATATTTGTAAAC